CCAAGGTCTTAAAGAAGCTGACACCCTCGCACTGAGTAAAGCCTCTAGCAACCTAGCGCACCTTGAACACCGGTGGCTCTCTACGAGGGCGCTTCACCTTGAAGAGCAACCAACCATTGACTACGTTCACCCCAAGTGGGAAAGCTGCATCGATGTAGGTGCCGGTGGATCTCCGAGATGTCATTTCCGCGTCCATGGCAGCTATAAGTGCGAGGGGTCGGGATGTCAAGGGTGTCTGGGTCGCTCTCAGGGACAAGCAGCATGGAGCAGAGATGGGGAGTGGCCTCGGACAGGAAAGCTAGCTCATACTTCCTGTCCTCTAGGATGTCACTGCCAAGGGCAAGAGCACCCCCGACGGACGTAGGACGGGCAGGGTTAGAGACCAGAGCTGTGGCGTAGTCAAGGCGGCAGGTAGAGGCAAAGTCAGCGACAGGAGTGACAAGAGCATCAAGACTGGGGACAGGAACGGACGGATGGGTAACAAGCAAGGCAAGAACGTGAGGAACAAGCGGATTAGTGGCACGGAGGAAGTCAGACAGAGGCGGCAGAGAGACAACAAGCAACGACTGAGGAGGCGACAGTAGAAGAGGAGCATGAGACGCGTGAGAGCGGAGCAACGTAGGGTGAGAGCATTGGAGAGGAGAAACAGGACGAGCACGAGAGGCACGGTGAGACCACCAGCGGGAGGGGGGGGGTCGGGTCAGGAGACAAGGGAGGAGAGACAGGAAGAGAACTAGAGGAGAAACGAGCTGGGGACGAGTCCGGCGGAGGAAACACAGGGCCGTGCACAGGCGGGGGAGGTGGCAGAGGGGAAGGCGAAAGCGTGCGGTGGGGGAAGGGAAGACCCAGGAGGCGAAGGGCGGACACAGGCGGCGACTGCTGCTGCAGCTCCACGCCGACGTCAGAACCTCCAGCCGCACCACAGCTACCTCCAAGACGCTCCACGACCGCACCCCAAGAACGAGAACCCTCTCCAGCACCGGTGCCACCATTAGGACCGTCGGGACAAGCAACGATAGTAGCCCCACGACTAGAGCCCCCAAAACCAGCACCCCCAGAAAGAGAACCCTCTCCAGCACCGGTGCCACCCCCAGGACCACCGGGACAAGCCACGACAGTACCCCCAAGACTAGCACCCTCATCAACGCCCGCACCCCCAGAGGTCGCAGACCCCTGTGGTGGTTGCGGCTGCGGCGGCGGTGACTGCGGCTGCTGCTGCGACGGGGGCGACGGCGGCCGCTGCTGCGGCGACGACAGTGTCAGTTGATGTGTTGGCGAAAGAGGAGACACCGGGGTGGACATAGGCAGCGAAAACGGAACCGCAAGGCCCCTAGAATCAGCCGACTCCTCTACGAGGACAACTGACGGGAGGGGAGTGACGTGAGACACACTAGATAGAGGAGGACAGGGAGGGAGAGGAGCAGGGGCTATTGGGGGAGTGGGAACCAGAAACAGGGGCGGGGCAACCGGGTGACCTCGTTGGGGAAAGCGGGTGTAGAAGGAGACACACTTGTCAAAAGTGACGTCACGAGAGTGAAAGAAACAGTAAGACGGTGGGTGGTAAAAGTGCCGGTCAGACGCGTCTAGGGGGAAGCCAAGAAAGACACAAGGGACAATGCGGGTAGTGAGCTTGTCCGTGCCAGAGGCACGAACGTGAGTGAGGCAGCCCCAGACGTGTAACATAGACGCGTCACCAGAGGACCCGGTCCACAGGAGGGTCGGCAAAACCTGCTGCTGCTAGGAGTGTGGGCACAGGTTAAGCTGATGAGTGGCGTAGCGAACAGCGAACAGCCACAGAAAATGGGGTGCATCGGCATAGATCATGGAGGTATGAGCCACCTCCAAGACCAAACCGATGCGTCGCTCAGCGACCCCATTCTGCTGCAGGGAGTCTGGCAATGTGTATGACTGGGTGATGCCCTCCGCACGACAGAACTGGCCAAGCCGAACGGAGGCGAACTCGTTGCCACGGTCAGAGTGAAGACGCAGTGCAGGGAGGCCGCGGTGTACTCGCGCAGCAACAGCCCACGGGATAAGAACGCCAGGCATGTTGGCCTTCCACTCCAGGGGAAACACCGTGATATAGCGCGTGTAGTCGTCAACAAGCACTAGAAAGTAGCACTCTCAACATGGTATGGAGTGGTGCAGTCGTATGGGAAAGCGAGGACTAAGGAGCGCAGCGCAGCCGATTGTCAACGCAGGGCGTGCACGGCGGCGCAGGCAAGGGAGGGAGAGTAGGGAGCGAAGAAGGGAAACCTAAAACCAGACCGTGCTGTGACATGTGACGCAGACGCGGGAGTGCGGGGTTACCTAAGCGGTGGTGTCACGGCATCAACGGGTGGGTGAGCGATTGACACGAGCAAGCCGCAGCGACCTGGGTAGACTCAGGCACCTGGGAGGACGCCCTTACCGGGGGGGACGCAGTGTCTAGCGTGAACAAGCCAGATACCGGGTCCCGGGGGAACATGGTGAGGGGGGCACTTGTGGTGGCCTTGGTACAGACCGTGTACCGCTCATGACCAGGAAAGGTAGTGGTGACACCAAGGTCCTGAAGACAGCCGACACCAACTATGTTCCTGGAGAATGAGGGGATGTGCAAGCTTGTAAGATAGCCCGAGGGAACCGCCGGACAAGGAAGGGTAGTGGAGCTACGTGCAACTACCGGACCTGAGGAGGGGTCAACAAGCGCGACAACGGCAGGGGTGGCAAGTGGTGAAAGCGCAGTGTGGTCTCGGAAGAAGCAGGCAGACTCATTAGAGTCTAGCGTGGAGGAGAGAGCAACGGTAGCGTCTGCCAGTGGAGGAGCTAGCGTAGAACCAAGGCTAAACAAGGTAGGAGATCCTACCCCTGACGCTGCAAGGGAGAATAGACAACACACAGTGGACACACCTACACTAGGCAACACACGGTAATAAGGTCAGGTCACACTGGAGTCATCAGCATGCATCGCATGCAAAGCAGAGCAAATCTGATCCATGTCAATCTCAAAGACCGGCACACGGCGACGCACGAGATTGGGCAAGTCGGGGAGGTCCGGCGCAGGGTCGAAGCGGAGATGAAAGAGGTCGTTGAGGCAGCGGTAGCAGCGGGCGGCGGTGTGACCAATAAAGCCACACACAGTGCCACGAAGGGGGCCAGACTGGAGCTCGTACTGGCAACTCACAGAGCTGAAGCTGCCACCCGGCGCCGAGCTGCGAGGGCAGCCACCGCGGCCACCGCCACCAGAGCTGTAGGGCCACCCCGGCGGGAGGCGACCCCACTGCTGCTGCGAATGTTGCTGCTGCTACTTCTCCGAGGGAGCAGCCCCGGTCCCCTCGTCGGTACCGCCGACACTCGAACCACCTCGACCACCACAGCCTTCCCCACCACCCCTCCCTCCGCCACGCCCCCCCTTGGGGCGGCGGCCCTTACCCTGACGAGGCGGCGCTGAGGCTGCCGTGGCGGCAGCCTCAACAGCAAGGGCTGCCTCAGCAACAATGGCAGAAACATCAGAGTAAGTGCACTTGAGGGAGCACAACCCTAGAAGATACGGACCGCCGCAATACCGCTATACTAAGACAGGGTGCGCTGGCGGGTCTCTATCGCAGACAGGGTGGTGACAAAGGCAGTAGAGGTGAGGTCACCTGGGTGCTGACTATGGAAGTGGTCGCGGGCAGTGGCGAGGCGGTCAGGAAGGCGCGTGGCAATGAGATAAAGGGTAGCGCAGCGAGCAGCGAGCTGGGCCTTAGTGCTAGCAGTGTGGTAGCTAGTCTCAAGGCCGCGTAGATGAGTGGCAAGATCAGCGATAGTGGGGATGGACGCAAGATCAGGGAATGGCATGGGGAGGATCAGATGGCGGGTAGAGGCGGAGGAGGGAGTGTAGCATGCAATGACCGCATTTAAGTACTCCCTTGCATTCGCTACAGCCGTAAAGCGGGGACGCTCATGAAGGGGGAGGGCATGAGTGATAGCAAGTTGCGCTACGGCTTCGCGCAACTCCCAGACATCGCGTGCAAGCTCAGCAGTGGCAAAGGCCTCACGCTCACCAATGGTGGGGGTGTTAGAGAGGGTTGCAGGCGCGTCGGGGTGGGGGAGCTTACCGTCAACATGGACGGCCAGGGATTAGCCATCCTGGCGCTGACCCGTCAGCTGACGGCGAAGGCCGACGAGCCATGCCTCAACATCAACCGCCCAACACTCCGCGTCAATGCGGAGCACAGCGTCCGCCATCACCACGGCTACGGCAACACGGCGGCACGCCGGCACGGCGACACTGTGGCACGGCGACACAGCGGCACGGCAGCACGGCAACACTGTGGCACGGTGGCATGGCGGCACAGCGGCAAAGAGGCACGGCGGCACTGCAGCACGGCGAGCTGGGACGGCGCGGCTTGGCAAGCAGAGTCCGGCAGCGCAGTGTTGGCGCGCAGGGGCGGTAGGAGCTGGGGCCGGCGGTAGCTGGGGCCGGCGCGAACTGGGGTCGACTCAAACTGGGGCCGGCGCGAACTGGGGCCGGCTCGAACTGGGGCAGGCGAGCTGGGGCCAGCGAGCAAGGGGGGCAGCTAGCCAGCGCGGGCCGGCGAGCGAGCACCGGCGAGCTGGGACCGGCGAGCAATGGCCGGCGAGCGAGGGCCGGCGAGCGAGGGCCGGCGAGCGAGGGCCGGCGAACGATGGTCGGCGAGCTAGGGCCGGCGAGCTACGGCCGGCGAGTTGGGGCCAGCGCGCGGCGAACGAAGGGCCAGCGGGGAGCTAGGAGCCAGCCGCGAGCGTGGGGCCAGCTAGTAAGCGTGGGGCCAGCGGCGAGCGTGGGGCCAGCGGGCCAGCGTGGGGCCAGTGGTGAGGGCTCTTGCGGCGCGTGCAAGGGCCCGTGGTGAGCGCGGGGCCAGCAGGCGAGCGTGGGGCCAGCGGGCGAGGGCTCACACAGCGCACAATAGGGCGGGCGCCAGGAACGAGGGCGGGTGCTTGGGATAAGGGCGATCTAGGGCGGAAGCGAAGGTGAAAAACCTAACCTAGCGTGATACCATCTCAGAATAACGCATTGCCTAGAATGGAGGGTACAAGATGACTTTGTGCTAGTGAGTTGTACTCTCTAAGAGCATGCACCTATCTAGCCTATAATAACATATGCATATATGTTTGACAGCAGCCACTTCGTCCAACCCAAAATGGCACCCGTCTGCACTACGCACTCCAACACATGTGCTTAGATTACGCCACCCTCGCCTCCACATCACCCTCCACCTCCAGTCACAACCCCACATCCTCTCTCCACACCTCACCCTCACCACTCCTCTCCAACCCTCCCTCTCTCTCTCCCCACCCCTCCTCTCCCCCACTCTGTCCCCCCCACAGCCGGCGCTGCATGAGTCGTCTCCTGCGCTGGAAGGTGAGCAGTGGCGCCAGGGGGTGGTCCTCCTGCACAGTGGTGTAGCCCGCGGAGGAGTAGAGCAGGAAGGGCGGGGTGTCCACCAAGCGGCAGTGCAGGCACATGGACGTCGCGTCCAGGGATGCTGCTAGGTCCTCCACTGCGGATAGTAGCACGCGCGCGATGCCCAGGCTAATGGGGTGGCGTGCAGTGGGTTGGGGTGGGGCAGATACAGGGTAGAGAGAGAGCGGATGCAGGCCAGGCCACTGAACGACAGTACCATGATTCTGGCAAGGACCAGGGTGAGAGCAGTGGGGAGATGAGAAGGCATTCAACCAACCCTGCCTTCCCCGCACACCCCCTCACCTTCCCTCTCCCACGGCTTCAATCTCGCCCCAAGCCATGCACCTCCCAGGAATGTCCAATGCCATACGTGCACCTTACAGCCTGTGTGTTTCTCACCACCTGTACCGGCACTCACCGCCTGTACGGGCACTCACCGCCTGTACGGGCACTCACCGCCTGTACGGGCACTCACCACCTGTACTGGCACTCACCACCTGTACTGGCACTCACCGCCTGTACTGGTGCGCCACAGCCATGTTGCAGAGGTATGCGGCGTCAGCGGGGGGGTCGAGAGTGGCGAAGGCGGGGCGCGCCTTGCGTGTGAGGGACAGCTCCACCACGCCCACCACCGGACCCTCCGGTGGTGGTGACGTTGCTGCTGTTGCTGCTGCTGTGCCCGGCTGTAGCGGCTGCTCCTGCAGGCTGTAGCGACGGACGTCAGATGAAGGGGAGGAGGAGGAGGAGGAGGAGGAGGAGGAGGAGGAGGAGGAGGAGGAGGAGGAGGAGGAGGAGGAGGTTGGGGAGTTGGTGTCTGGGTCACTGTTGGAGGAGTGAGAGGGTTGTTCCAGTGTGGCCACTAGCATCACGCCGTCTGGCACAATGAGGAGCCGGCCTGACACGTAGACGGAGATCTGGTGGGTGGGAGAGAGGGAGGAGTAGGGACCAAGAGGTGTAGAGCACAAAGTGAGAGACAGAAAGAGTGAGCGGCAGAGCACAAACTATCTCCTCGTGTAAGCAACTCCTGCTTCTTCAGCAGCTGTGCTTCATTGCGACTGATCCCAACCCATCCCAACCCATCCCAACCCATCCCAACCCATCCCAACCCATCCCAACCCATCCGTCCCAGTCACCCCCATCACACCTGCATGCGCAGCAGCGGTTTGAACGTCAAGCCGCCCATGTAGTCCATGAACGACTCTGTCAGCATATCTGTCAGCGCTGCCACGTGGCACCCCGCCATTGGCCGCACCACCACCGTGCCCGCCCTCGTCTCCACCCGCCTCTCATACCCGCGGATAATCGCCAGTCTTGCCGCCTCTTCTGCATTCCCTAGAGGGTCTCTAGCGCCATACCCGTTATTGTAAGCTCCAGTACCAGCCTGGGTAGGATATTCCCAGGGCGAGGCGTCAAGTAACCCCCCAGCGGTATTCTCCCCTGCGCCCCGTCCGTCTCGCCCCTCTCGCGCATCCAGCAAGTCCCTCGCTTTAGTCACGGCCTCCCACGTGGCTGCCCAGTCCCGCCCAATGGCTCCCTTTGACTCGCTGGTCGCCACTGCTGCTGCCGCTGCTGCTAGCGCTTCAGCTACTGTTGGTGGTTGTTGTCTTGGTGTCGCGCCTGCTGCTGCTGCTGCTGCTGCTGTTGTCGCGCTAGACTGCTCCCCCCTGCCCCCCGCTGCTGCTCCGCCTGCGTTCCCCTGCTCCCGCCGCTCCCGCATCACTCGTAGCACTGGCGCGTCTAGGTCCGCCTCCGCCTCCCCCGCCACCCATTCCGCGGGAGCGCGCCCCCCTTTCCCCTCGTTTTCCGCCGTTCCCTCGCCATCTCCGCCTCCAAGCGCCCCCGCGTGGGTGACCAGCCTCCTGGGCGGAAGACGCGCGGAGCTGCGCCCGCAGACCTTGCGGGAGATGGCCAATGCTCGCGTGGAGTCGGGTATTCCTCCGCCAATCAGCGCAACTCTCCCGCCGAGTCGCCCCGTTGACAAAACGTGGCGTGGTTGCGAGTCGATGCGGTTGTGGCCAACCGCGATGCGACTGGTGCGGTGGGTGTCAAGGGTGGTGGCGGCGCGGAGCGGTGCGGAGCAAGCGCCGCCTGGCGCGCCTACGGCAGCTATTAGCGCCATCAGCCGCAATGCGGAAGGCGCAAGGGGTTGGCGGAGGACACTTGCGCAGTGGTGTGGAGTGACGTATGCTGGGAGGGGGGTGGCGAGGGTGGGTGATGGTTGTCGGTGTTGTGATGGTATGGGATAGAGGAGCCCGTGGCTGGGGCTGTTTTAGGGCGTGGAGCCCACAGTTTCAAAACTGAGGTGCGCCCGAGTTCCGGTGTGGTGACATGCGTCGCTAATATCGCAACAGCGTTCGCCAAACCCTTCGTGATTATCAATCCACGAACGGTGCACTCTATCACCAGATTCTATCGAATCTGGCGAATCAATCAGCCCAGACGAAGCTCTGCGACTTTTTCGGGATTTCGCACGTGTTCGAAGATTCCACAAGGATTGTTCAAACACACGTCACTTCGGAACTGGTGGTTCCATGTCAATACCGAGTTCGCGGTTAGCGAGTTCGGAACTGAGTCCCAAAACTGGGCCAGCCGAACGCTATGCTAACACGCCCTTCTATTGGCCAAGTTGGCGGAATTATTTTCTTGCACAATTTATGCATTCTGATTTTAGCAACACGAGAGTACACTTGGAGAAGTTCAAATTCAGCCCTTCTATCGAGCACGGTTGCCTCTGTGCTGGGCACCTCTCTTTCGCCCCAAATTACTGTTGCAGCCGCCACCAAGCGAACCAACAACCACGCCGTCTACGTCACTCAACGTCGCTCAGCGTCGTTCACAAAGCCCCATTCGTCCAGTCTAGAGTGAACACATAAGGTCCTGGGTTCCGCCATGTCTCTCCGCGCGACCTCTCTCGCGATGTTGCCGAGTGTTCCCCCCACGCCGCGCCACCGCGCAGCCCGCATGCGGGGGGGTAGAACCGGAGTTTAGGCGTCAACCGCCCCGATCCATGTTTCGATCCACGTGTCGATCCATGCCCACCCATAGCGACAGCCATTGAGGCGCCTCTTAGCGCGGCGCCCATGCGCGCACCTCGCCGCCATGCCCCTCGCCTGCCTCCTGCGCCTCTCCGCCCGCCGCTGCCGCCACTCCGCGGATCGCACGCGCAGGTAGAAGGGGGGGAAGGGAGAGGGGCGGGAGGGGGAGAGGGGGAGGGGAGGAGAGCCAGCATGGGGGTTGAATGTGCAGAGGGGCGCAGAGGGCGCGAGGCAAGGAAAGAGCGCGCATTCTAGAAGCTTCCTCGTGGATGGGCCGTACCGCCTTGAGGACTGTTGCGTCTGCCTTGCGCCAGTTGCTCACTGCGCTATAGCGCGTATACCTTGTGGATTCCTTCCTGGCTCGTTTAGCGTTTATATGCATGCAGTAGCATGGAGTGGCCGAGGGTGGGAGTATACGCTCTGATGGCGCTGCTTGCTTGAAAAGTGGGATCTTGCGCGTCGATCCTTCATAGCACCACTCCTTCCCTGACCCCCCTTCCCCTCCCCTGGCCTCTCCCTATTGTTTCCTGCCTTTCGCACTCATCCCCTCTTCTCTCCTTTCCCGTGCGCCCCTCTGCCCATCCCCACCACCTCTCTGCCCCCCCCTTTGCTCCCCCCCTTCATCCCTCCCAATTGCAGCGCGCTTCTCCCCTCGCCCCGCGCCCACACCTTTGACGCTGCCGCCTTCCGTCCCGCACTCCCTCTCCCCCCACCACTCAGCCCACTCCCGCCACACTCCCACTCCCACACCCACACGCTCATCTGTCGCCTCCTCCGCATCCCCACTTCCCGCCAACCGCCCCTTCTGTCGCCGTCACTACAACCACCGTTACAGTCACCACCTGTACAATCACAACCTGCAGTCCTCACATTCGCCCCATCCGCACACCCACACGCCCTTTTGTGTTTTGAGGCGCCTCATAGTGTCCTCCCATGTCCACAGCCGCATGCCTCCCCGCACTGCCGTCCCCTTCTCCCTGACCACCACCGCCTTTCTCCTCCTGCGACCCAACTTGAGGTGCTGCCACGTGTCCGTATTCCATTGGCAGTGGCACGGCCTGTGGCAGCAGGGGTCCTTAGAGGGGAGAGGTTCATGGGGAGTACTGTAGGGTGGGGGGGGTGTGAGAGGGGTACGAGAAGACGAGGAGAGGGGGGTTGGGGGAGAGGAGTGCGGGGGGGAGTGGAGAGATGCGTGGGGAGAGGAGGTGTAGCAGCAGCAGGAGAAGCTGCAGCAGGAGCAGCAGCAGCGGCAGGAGGAGGAGCCAGAGGTGGGGTGGGAGAAGGGGAGGGATTGGCGTGGGCATGGATACAGGCAAGGCGGCTACATGGTGGGGCTGTGGTGATGGGGGAGATTGAGAGGGTGAGGAGAGAGGCGGAGGTGGAGAGAGAGGAAGGGGGAGGAAGAAGAAGAGGAGGAGGAAGAAATGAGGAGGGAGTGAGGAGCGGAGTTATGGGAGAAGGGGGGGACTTGTGGGAAGATGCGGAGGACGATGACCAGAGGCAGGGGAGGGGGGTGAGGGGTAAGGAGACGGTGGAGGAGGAGGAAGAGGAAGAGGAGGAGGAGGAGGGTGGCGATGCGGAAGAGGAAGGGTTGGATTTGGAGGAGGCGGTATTTGAGGGCGGTGGGGGGAAAGGTGACAGCGCACTAGGGTACAACGCAGGTGAGGAGGGGGGGAGGGGAGGGAACGGGAGGTGAGGGGGTGGGAGTCTAGGTGTTGTGTTATGAGGGGATGGGAGCTAGGGCGCTCGCTCGCAACGAGTACATGTTGGCCTGTCGTGGTTACATCTGTTGATATCCCATCCAGTGATAAGCGGCACTGCTGCTGCTTGGATATACTGTACGCGCTGAATCAACCCCCCTGCTCCCCTCCTCCTCTACTTCATGCCTATACCCTACCCTATAACCCTGGCCTAACCGCCTTTTCCTTCCTCCGCTCCATTCCCCACTCCCTTTCTCCCCCCCTCCTTCCCTTTTCCCCCGTTTCTTCCCCCCCCCTTCCCCCCCGCTTTCCCTTCCCCCACGCTTTCCCTTCCCCCACGCTTTCCCTTCCCCCACGCTTTCCCTTCCCCACGCTTTCCCTTCCCCCACGCTTTCCCTTCCCCCCCGCTTTCCCTTCCCCCACGCTTTCCCTTCCCCCACGCTTTCCCTTCCCCCACGCTTTCCCTTCCCCCCCGCTTTCCCTTCCCCCACGCTTTCCCTTCCCCCACGCTTTCCCTTCCCCCCGCTTTCCCTTCCCCCCGCTTTCCCTTCCCCCACGCTTTCCCTTCCCCCACGCTTTCCCTTCCCCCACGCTTTCCCTTCCCCCACGCTTTCCCTTCCCCCACGCTTTCCCTTCCCCCACGCTTTCCCTTCCCCCCGCTTTCCCTTCCCCCCCGCTTTCCCTTCCCCCCCGCTTTCCCTTCCCCCACGCTTTCCCTTCCCCCCCGCTTTCCCTTCCCCCACGCTTTCCCTTCCCCCCGGCTTTCCCTTCCCCCCGCTTTCCCTTCCCCCCCATGCATCACCCTGACTGAAGTAAGAGCACCAGGCTCCATGGAGAGCCTGTGGTCACAGGGTGCAGCCCGTGTTGTTGCGGTCCCAAATTACCCTCTCTTCCCCCTCTTCTCTTCTTCCCCCTTCTTCCCTTTCTTACCCCAATCGCCAGGCTCCCTGGAGAATCTGTGGTCGTATGTGCAGCACCTGCTGTGGTCCCAACTTACCTTCACTCCCCCCCTTAGACTCTTCTTCCCCTTGCTCCCCACTCTTTTTACCCCAACTCCAGGCTCCCTGGAGAGTCTATGGTCGTGCGTGCAGCATCTGCCGGAGGGTGCAACGCGCCTGCTGCCCACCGTGCTGACGTGGCACAGCCAGCATGCAGACGGGAGCGGCCGCCCGCTCCCGAAAGCCCTGTTGCTGGCACTGATTCGGCGGCTGAAAGACAGCCTCCGACACGTGCACGCGTTCGAGGTGGGATGGGATGGGAGAGGGGAAGGGGGGAAGGGGGGAAGGGGGAAGGGGGGAAGGGGGGAAGGGGGGAAGGGGGAAGGGGGGAAGGGGGGAGGGGGGAGGGGGGAGGGGGGAGGGGGGGAGGGGGGGAGGGGGGGAGGGGGGGAGGGGGGGAGGGGGGGAGGGGGGAGGGGGGGAGGGGGGAGGGGGGGAGGGGGGGAGGGGGGAGGGGGGAGGGGGGAGGGGGGGAGGGGGGAGGGGGGGAGGGGGGAGGGGGGGAGGGGGGGAGGGGGGAGGGGGGGAAGGGGGGAAGGGGGGAAGGGGGAAGATTGTTTTTAGGCGTCTGTATCATCGTCTCATGACTGGCTCTGGTATCGGTGGTGGAAGGACAGCCTCCGACACGTGCACGCGTTCGAGGTGGGATTTAGGGGAGGGCAGTGGGGGACAGGGAGGAACAGACGGAGGAACAGGCGAGATATCCTGAAGGCGTCTAATGTCGTCCTATGACTGGCTCTGATTCGGCAGTCAAAAGACAGCCTCAGACACGTGCAAGCGTTCAAGGTAGGATGGGAAGGTAGGGGGGGAGGGGGGAACAGGAGAAGGTTGTTTTAGGCGCCTGTGTCATCGTGTCATGACTGGCGGTGATTCAGAGCTTAAAGCAAAGGACAGCCTCAGACAGACACGCTAAAGAGATTGTCACATGCCAATCAATTCTAGTCACACCAGCCGATCCCCGCAGCACCCATTTGCGCACTCCTCTGTCGAAACACCTCAATCCTTATCGCTCGGGCATGTCCCCTCCATCTCGCTCGCTCTGCTCCCGCATCTCTCTGCACTTGTTTGAGTACCGTTGATTTTTCTAGAATTCTCAGTAGCCAATTCCGCCCCCGCATCTCTCTGCAGCAGGAATCGGAGCACCTGGTGCGCAGCCCACACTACTGCTGGGCAAGGTTTGAGTCGCCTCAGAAGCACCCCCCTTGCCACCTTGTCCCACATCCATCTCTCCCATTCACCTCCCTAATCTCCCCACCAGGTATCAGAGTACCTGGTGCGCAGCGCGCACTACTGGCTGGGCAAGGCCGACTGGAAGCTGCTGCTGGACGTGTGCGTGCGCGCAGGCCGGGTCACGCGGGCAGAAGAAATGTTCACGCTGCTGCCCAGAGACCTGCAAACGGAGGAGGTATGTGGCTGCATTGCCACTACAAGCGTGTCCTGTTTTATCTTGTAACTTCAACAACTCCGACCTCTTTATGTGTGAATCATTCTCATTCATCTCCTAAACACATCTACCTGTGTCCTGTTTTTGTTTTTTGTCAACTCCCCCCCCCCCACCTCCCCAGGTGTACATGAGCATTCTGCACAACTACGCGCGGCGGGGGCTGGTGCGGCGTGTGGAGTCGCGCGTGGTGATGCTGCGAGCGCTGGGCGTGCGCGAGAGTGCGCTGAGCTTTGAGGCGCGCATGATGGCATATGCGGTCAGGGGCATGGCGGGGGACGTGGAGCGCGTGGCGCGGGAGATGGCGGACAAGGTACGGGGGTAGGGGAGGGGTGTAGGAGGGGGAGGAGGAGGTGAAGGAGGAGGTGGGGTATGCGCTAAGGTGGTTTGGGAAAGTGGAGGGGGCAAGGGGGAAAAGTGGGGGGGGGGGGGGAAGGGGGGGAGGAGGGGAGGGGGTGCCTGGGTGGGGTTTGAAGCGCACATGATGGTGTATGTGGTCAGGGGCATGGGGGGGAACGTGGAGCAAATGGCGCGGGAGATGGTGGACAAGGTGGGGGAGGGGAGGGGAACTGGAGAAGGGGGAATTATAATAAACTACTTTGTGCATCAGCATCAGCATCACCATCACCATCACCATCACCATCATCATCACCATCACCATTAGCATCAGCATCAGCATCAGCATCAGCATCAGCATCCATTAAGCGTTAGGGTGGGCTGCAGCGAAGAGGAAAAACTTTAGCAAAAGAGTGACCGTAGGTAAATTGATACCCCTGTTTAAAAACGAAGATTTGAAGTTCCGAACTCAACTCCACTAGAAGATTAAAACGCAAACTAGTTTCGGCTGACTGGGACAGGCCCCAAATCAGACCCTCATCAGTGCTGGTGGAATTATAAAAGTGAGTTTACAAGCGAGCTCTTAAACAAAAACTGCGCTACGAGAACAACAACTTCAAGGTTGGAACAACCGCGACTGAAATCTGGTCAGCCAATCCAAAACACCCTGGAAAGTTCCAAGGTGCCAGGTCTTCATTCCTCGGGACGTGTCGTGGGTAACCCACATCTCGCCAGCGGGTGCTCAGGGAGCCTCGCGCGAACAAGTAACTTTTGCAAGTTACGCCCAGCCTTCCAGCCAGGCGACAAAAATTCTCTCAGTGTATAATCCGTGTGTAATGAGCCGATTTTTGAGTCGACTCATATCACCATCCCTTCCTCATATCCACCACACCCATCATCACCATCACCATCACCATCACCATCACCATCACCATCACCTCCTCATATCCACCACCACACCCTTCCCACCCGATCCCCTCCTTCCACCTTACTCAACTCCCCCCCTTCCCCCTCCCGTCCCCCTACCTCTCCCCCTCTCCCCAGGGCATCCCCCCCACTCCAGCGGTGTACGAGCACCGCATGCAGGCCTACGCGCGTCGCCTGCACCTCCCAGCCATCCGCGCCCTCCTGCACCACCTCTCCCACTCGCCCCACCCCCCCTCGCTCCCCACGCTCACAGCCGCCGCATGGGCGTTCTTCTCCAGGGGAAAACTTGGGGAGGCGGAGAGGGTAGTGGGGGAGATGCGGACAGTGCAGGCGGGGAGGGGGGAGGGGCTGCCGGTGCCGCTGCTGGTGGGGCTGGCATGGGCGTATGCTCGTGTGGGGGACGTGCGGCGCGTGGAAGGTGCGGTTGAAGAGGCGGGGAGAGTCAAGGCGAACGACCTCAGGTGAGGAGGGAACGAGGAAATAAGTGGAAAGGCTGGGCTATGGATGGACCTATGGGTTTGGTGGCTTTTTTTTGTGACTGGTGTGGGTACTTCAGTTTGTGAATCCGTTTCTGTCAATTCTTCGCTTTTTGCATGCATCCATGTGTTCACGGCGCACCTGCCCAGCCAAGGCATCAAGGCCACGCGCTGCTCTGTCCTCTGCACCCCTCTGCATCCCTCTGCGCCCCTCTGTGCCCCTCCCCTTGCGACCACTTGCCGAGTGCAGCATTATGCACATGGCCCAAATCTACTGCTATGCTGTAGCTGGCCGAGTGGAAGACGCAGAGAAGGTTCCTTCTAACCCCACCATGTGGCCCCTTAATGCTCCAAGTCTATGCGTCCATAAACCTTGTGTGTGCTTACGTTCTCTCTACTTTCTCCTTTGTCTTCCATTTCACTCCCTTAACCCCCTGAACCAAAACCCTGAACCGGAACCCTCAACCCTTGCCTGAGGCCATCCAGACAGAAGATTGACCACTACTGCATCGCCATGGTTCTTCCTTACTGCTGTTCCTTTCTCTTCTTCTTCCACTTCACTCATGCAAGGGACTAACCCACCTAACCACTTCCTCCTCCTGCTTCCCTCCCTTCACCTCTCCACAGGCGTTCTCAGTCATGCAACAAGCGGGCCACGCCCCTACAACAGCCGCCTACAACTGCCTGCTCCCCGCATACACGCGCACCCATCTCATGCACAAGGCGCTCTCGCTCCTCGCCGACATGCGCGCCTCCCACAGGCTCCCCGATGCCATCACCTACCACCACCTCATTACAGGCGCACTCCATAACGAGGATACGGATGCTGCTGTGAGTCTGTTGTTGCAGGCAGCGGCGGCGGCAGCGGCGGGGCATCCCTGGTCATGGGGCAAGAGGGGGGCGAGCTGGGGTGATGGTCCCAACCCCGTGCTTGACGCTTTGGTGGAGGGCTGCGGGAGTGAGTGGGGAGTGAGAGAGGGAGGCAGTGTGGGTGCGCCGAGCAGTGTGGGGACTGGTGGGTGGGTGCATGGAGGGGGGGTGGTGGGTGGGCGCAGGGCAGAGAGGGGCAGGCGGAGGTTACAGGTGCGGGTGGGGCTGTTTCTGGCTGTGGTAGAGCGGTTGGCGGAGGCAGGGGACATGGAGAGGGTGGAGAGGGTAGTGAGTGAGGTGGGGCGGGGCATGTATGCCATGGATGCTAAGTTGTACAATCTGGTGCTCCGGGCTGTGCTGCGAGGGGCGGCGCGAGTGAAGGTGGGGGAGAAGGGAGCGGGTGGGATTGGAGATGGCAGAGGCGGAGTAGAGAGAAGGGAGGAGGAAGGGGGAAGTGAGGTGGTGGGTGGGGAATCGGGGCGAGATGGGGAGGATGGGGGTGGCAGCTGTGATACCAATCATGGCAGCATTGAGAGGGATGGTGTTGGTTTGGAGGAGCAAGGGCAGCAGCAGAGATTAGAGGATGGTGTGCGGCGGGTGTTGAGGTTGTTGCGAGCGTCAAGAACACGGCCTAATGCGGAAACACAAAGCATTCTTGCAAATGCTGGGCTACTGAGAGTGTTCCAAGAGGAGGGACTCTCCCCTGGCCTCGTGCCACGGTGATGCTGGCCATGGTTCAGTGTGAAGACTCGCAACTCAAGGGTGGACACTGGACATGCTCAAGAGACAAGCAAATCTGATGCAGCTTACCACTTTTGCTTCGCATAACCTTGAAATTATGCGAGCAACCTTGGTTGTATTGGTGCGAAGCCAAGTGTTGGAAATATCTCAAGGACTTAAGCGTTTCTGAAGTGTAACACTGTACTCGAGGAAGATTACAGGGGAGCACGCGAGTCAACGGAGGTTACACGAGGGGGCGGACAAAGAAAGCGAAAGGACTCGAAAGGTCGCAACTGGAGGTTGCGACTGACCGTTACAACATCACAGATGGTAACCGAAGCGGCAATCGAGTCGCTGTGCGACTCGATAAACCGCTCCTGTAACTGTATTCTACAACTGCTTTCTTATCTTCTATATATTGCTGTATGCTTGTTTCTTTAATCAATCACTTGTTCTCACATACTAGTACAAGGGTTCAACCGTCTCAACTTCCGCTGCACTACTCCAAGTCTCAAGTCTTTACAGCTGGGACTTAGTCTCTGCAAAAGATCCTAAGGGCTTTTCTCAGCCCAACATGGTATGAGAGCTGGTCAGAGACCAAAACTCCCAGCAACTACACTCCATCAACAACCAGCAACTCAACTTGATTCAACAACTCCATTGATTACAAGACATGGACAACAAGGGCAAGAAAGTCTCTACGGGCTCACCCAGCGCCCAAGAAACTCAACACGGCAACTCTGGTCTGCACACCTCAGGACTGCAGACAGAGACCGGGACTGCTCAAGAAACAACGGGAAGAGTACCAGAGATGGTGACCCCGTCTCCATCTTCAAGTGTGGACCCGAATCTCATGGAGAGATTCTTCAGCTTCATGTCACACTTCGATCAGCAGCAGCAGACAAGGACACCTGCGCACTCAACACAGAGCAATGGAGGGAATATGGGATTAGCGCCGATGAGCCTCGACAACTCATCCTTCGGGCGACACAATCAAGCGCCTACCTTTGCGCCTTATCACTCTTCACCGGGGACGTTCGAGTTCATGCCGCCCCGTGCCCAACCAACAGCAGCTGCATCACAACAAACACCAAACGAGATTTTAAGTCTCCAGGCACAGTTTTCACACGTGATTAAACTGCAGACATCATCCCCATTCAACGGACACGACTTCTTTACCTGGAGCTTCGAGTTCGAGCTGCTGATGGAGGCCGCGCATCTTCTGGGATACTTCAACGGGTCCCTGCCATTCCCAAGCAACGGCACTGGGAAGGAACAAGAAATCTTCACGTATCAGTCGCTGCTGGCGTATACGGTACTCCTGAGAAACTTGTCACCACAAGAGCAGCAGAGCATCAGAACGTATCGGAGTTATGGAAACTCCGCGGAACTTGCATGGCATCATCTCAAATGCCTCTATCAAGCAAACGACAGCGTGACACAAAGCAGACTCATGCAACAGCTGACAACAATACAGATGAAAACCGGGGAAAAGGCGATGCAGTATATGAGTCGCTGCCAGACCCTGCGCGACCGCCTGCTTCGGTGCGGAGGAACGATCACTGAAGAAAACTTCGTCACACTTGTCCTCGCCGGGCTCGGACCAGAATGGAGAACCACACGATCGCTTCTTCGCGCCCACGGAAGGATCTCGGAGATGCACCTCTGCGCCGAGCTTCACGCTGAACAACAGGAGATGGATCTGTTCGAGGAAAGACAACCAAGGAAGCAACAGCAGTTAGTCTTCTACACTCAAAGAAGAAATGACATAAACTACAACCGACGCAGCAAGCAAGATCAACGCGACAACCGAGGACTCACCATCGTGCCGCCGTTCTGCCACAACTGCCAGACTTCCGGACACTCCAAAGTCAACTGCAACCGCCCTCGCGTTTACCGTGCAGCAGACCCACAAGTTGCTTCCACTCAAGCAAGTTCCCCAAGGCGCTCTTCAACATCTGCACAAGGGACACCAAATATCATCAACTGCATGGTACACATCGACAACTGCGCACCCGGATCACCACCCACTTACGCACCAGACGAAGAGGAATTCCCGCCGCCGCGCTCACAAGGACTTCAGGTCAACCCAACATACGCTGCGGTCGCCAACGCCGAACCCACTGGGCGAAACACCTGGTTCTTGGACAGCTGCTGCGGTCAACACATGTGCTCCTCGGGACGCTTCGTGCAACAGGAGAAACGCCTCAACCGCGACGTCGTCATCACCGTCGCCAACAACGAAAACCTGAAAACAAACAGACAGGGCGTGGTTCAGTTACAATCCATGGAGACGAATGTCATACTTCAACTCAACAAGGTGCTCATTGTCGACAATCTGGGATACAATCTACTAAGCGTAAGCCAACTAATGGCCAAGGGGATTCACCTGGAGTGCGACTCTTACTCCAACGAGTTCCGGCTTTACCACGGGAAGGGCGGCCTCTTCATCGGTCGTGCCCTCCTGAAGTCCGGCGTCTTCGTGTTGGACTTCGTCCCCGACCGCGGAACTGCCGACAGCGATGGCATCGTATCGTTCGCCGCCTGGACTCACCCGCCGGATCTTGACCCCGACTTCGACAGTGACGGCTTCTGGCACTCCAACACCATACCTGCAGCAGAGAGAACACGAGCATTAGCAGTTATCAGACAAGAAAGACAAGTACCCGCAAGTGTCCCAACAAAACCATCACCTGCAGTATCGGCAGCAGGACCCAGCCGAGTACCACCACCATCAACACGAGGACCGCCAACGGAAGCAGACCAACTTATGCCCGCCACACGAGAAGCTTGTCGAAGTCCCGCCTCAGTCGTCGCGTTCTTCTCCAACGCCGACATCTACCACCGCTCGCCCGGCCACCGCGCTCCCGACGACATCTGGCACCAACGTCTCGGACATCCTGCAAACAGCACGATACTTCAAACAATCCAAGCAGAGGTGTTAGAACGCAACGCCCTTCTGACGACGAACGGCCAGGAACTCCGACGACCACGCGCACGGTGCTTCACATGCCCCGAAGCAGATCTTCCTCATCAACCTTTCCCAGCCCATCACAATCCAAGCGCACCCACTTACGCTCCGATGGAAAAGGTCTACAGCGATATTCTAAACATGCCTCGAGACGACACCGAAGCCGACTTCAACTACGTCATCACGTTCATCGACGCAGCAACCAGATACGTCTGGCACTTCAATCTCAAAACGCGCGATCAAGCCTTCGAGGCCTTCACCACATGGCTTCCAATCGCCGAACGAGAGTCAGGAACCAAACTCAAGAGTTTCCAGTCAGACGGTGCACTGGAATACCAGTCACAACGCTTCAGGACCTATCTCGCGGAAAGGGGAATCCGACGCCTGGTGTCTCTGCCCTATGCTCACCAGCAGCAGGGGGTAGCAGAACGCATGAACCGGACCTTGCAGACGACGATGCGAAAACTGCTTCTGGGGATGAGGCTGCCCAACGCACTGTGGCCAGACGCGATGACACATGCTGTTCACCTGCACAACCTGCTGTCCTCGTCATCACTTCCCAACAACGCATCGCCGCACCTGTTGTGGACAAGAAAAAGGGGCAGCACAAAATTACTCCGCGTTTTCGGCTGCATGGTACAGTACAGACCCCACACAGCCCGAGCAGGACGCTTCTCACAAAGAGCTCGATGGGGACTACACCTCGGCATCGCAAAACATTTTCACGCGTGGAAAATTCTCGACATACAAGACAAAAACACGGTGGCATCACGCGATGTTATCTTCTACGAACGACTGACGCTGCAGCATTACCTGGACAACCTTGCCAACACACAAGACCCCACCGACGGCTTCGCGGGCCTTCGCTCCTTCGCTGACCACACTGCCGAGGCTGACGCAGCAGAAGAAGACGTACCTGGAGCCTCGGAAGCTGCCGGACCACTCCCATTCTGTTCCGTACCTGTTCCACTCGATGAAGATAATCCCCTCGATAGCAACAACCTCGACACCTTTTACCACTTCGCCGACCAAGGTTACGCTACACCTCACCCCGTCGACACGAATATTTCGGAACGCATCGGCCCCAATTTCTTACCTGACCCCGAAGACGGTGACGAAGCAGCTTATTCCGGGAATGAAAATTCCCCTCGACACACGCCCACGGGACTCCAGATTCTAGGCCTCTGGGTCTCCGTCCAGAATCCGCCGCCGCCTTCTCCGCGAGAGCCTTCAACGTTGTCGCAGGCTCTGGGGGGGGAACATAAGGCAAGATGGAAGGAAGCAATGGAAAAGGAGTTAAAAGCTCTGCAAGACCGAGAAACGTGGAAACTGGTACCTGCAACGAGCATCAACGGAAAAAACGTTCTCTCGGGGAAATGGGTGTACCGCATCAAGACCAACTCAGACGGTTCCGTCGAACGATTCAAAGCTCGATGGGTCGTACGAGGCTTCGACCAACGATACGGAGCCGACTACACAGAAACCTTCGCTCCAGTCTCCCGTCACACCTCATTACGCATCCTACTCGCCGTCGCGGCCACGAAAAAACTGCCACTACGCCAAATCGATGTCGCGAATGCATTCCTATACGCACCTGTGGACGCTGAGATCTTCGTCGAACAACCCCACGGATTCATCAACGATCCCACGAAAATATGCCGACTGACAAAATCCCTATACGGGATCAAGCAAGCCCCGCGGCTCTGGCAGCAGCATCTCCACGGCCGTCTCGCAAAGATCGGCTTCCTACAATTACCGCATGACCAAGGGATGTACCGACTGCAGAAGGGAAGAGATTATGTTCTGCTCATCGTCTACGTCGACGACCTGCTCTACATCGGCTCCACTATCGACATCGCCACCTGGTTCGAAGGGGAGCTGAAAGAAGATTTAACTCTCACGGTGTCCGACGAAGTTACCCAGTACCTAGGACTGAACATCGTCGAAGACGACACGGCGTTCTACCTACACGCTGGAAAGTACTCAAGCACCGTCGCGAAGAAATTCGGTCTAGCACCGACTGCGGTCCCAACTCCCTACCGCTACGGGAACAACAGTAGCGCCTCCACAAAACTCCCCGCGAAACAAATCCAGGAGTATCAACAGAAGCTCGGTTGCCTACTATTCGCAGCAGTAACCTGCCGACCCGACCTATCCTATAGTGCGAGTCAGCTGGCGACACATCTGAAGCAGCCGCAACAGGAAGATCTCGAAGAACTCAATCGAGCGCTACTCTACTTCGTCTCCACGCCGACGATCGGGCTCACCTACAGCAAGGCAACAACACCGTCCGTACAACTACTCGGATACGTCGACGCCGACCACGCGGGAGACAGCGAAAATCGACGGTCTAGGACGGGCTACATCTACCGACTAGAACCTATCGGAACTATCTCCTGGCAGTCGAGCAAGCAGGAGTTAATCGCACTATCCTCGGCTGAAGCAGAGTATGTCGCCCTTTGTACTGCGACCAGGGAAGGACTCTACCTACGAGAGTTACTCGAAGAAGCGAAGATCGCGACCCTGCCCGCCTTCTCACTCCTCTGCGACAACCAATCTGCAATCAAAATCGCGAACAAGGACGGCTTCGCCAACCGAACCAAGCACATCGCCCTGCGGTACTTCTTCGTCAAGGATGAAATCGCGAAGGGGAGACTTCAACTCAGTTACTGCCCGACGACAGAAATGGCCGCAGATTATCTGACGAAGAAATTGGCGAAAGCAAAATTCGACTACTGCATGCTCCTAACCGGGCAAACAAACGTCACCGGATCTGAACACTCCAGCACTCCAGAAACGAAGGGGAGTGTTGGAAATATCTCAAGGACTTAAGCGTTTCTGAAGTGTAACACTGTACTCGAGGAAGATTACAGGGGAGCACGCGAGTCAACGGAGGTTACACGAGGGGGCGGACAAAGAAAGCGAAAGGACTCGAAAGGTCGCAATTGGAGGTTGCGACTGACCGTTACAACATCACAGATGGTAACCGAAGCGGCAATCGAGTCGCTGTGCGACTCGATAAACCGCTCCTGTAACTGTATTCTACAACTGCTTTCTTATCTTCTATATATTGCTGTATGCTTGTTTCTTTAATCAATCACTTGTTCTCACATACTAGTACAAGGGTTCAACCGTCTCAACTTCCGCTGCACTACTCCAAGTCTCAAGTCTTTACAGCTGGGACTTAGTCTCTGCAAAAGATCCTAAGGGCTTTTCTCAGCCCAACACCAAGGATATAACACCAACACAAGTCTGAAAACAAGTTGTTAATACATTATGTTGTTGCAACTAGCATTGGGCAATCATTGCTCACCTAAAAAAAAATCATATTGTTGAGATTATGTTTCGCAAATGTCATACAAATGCTTGTCGGCATACATGTATGCTGGTTTTCATAGCGAATCATTAGAAGCTAGCCTCATAACACGTACGGAAACCGGAAGTCGAAGAGCCGCGCAGATTTCGGGTGTCTCCTTGCAGTTTGTGCAGGATGAAGGCATAAAGACCCTCGGCCTGCTTCTATTTTCCATAATTTTCTTTAGGGCGTGTCACATTTTTACCAACAGCTTCCGAACCGAACATTCACCGCAATTTACCACGCTTTTAATAACTAATAGCGTAAAACATCACACTATTCCGCTTTCAAACTCTCTGAATGGTTGACCCTGAGAGCTGTTCGTGAAAAATGTGACACGCCCTTACTTCCATGATGTATATGTGATGCTTTCCCACCTCATGTTTCTGGGCGGGCAGATCCTGTATGCCAGTGATAACCTTCCTGCCCGAGCGTTGACTCGCATGGCGGAGCAATCGACGAGGCGCAATGTTCGATGCCATCAAACCGCCCGTCCAATGCGCGCTTTGGGATTTTCGCGCGGCTCCAACAACGCTAACTGTTTTTTCCTGCTCTTTTTCCCTCGCTCTCCTCTCCTCACTGCTCCAAACCGAGGCACGCCCCCTTGGAACCTCCAACAAACCAAACCGAACCCACGCCGCAACACACGCACTCGTCACCTTGGCTTCTAAAACAGAAACCACAAGGCCATGCGAAATGGACTCTCCCCCTGGTTCGGAGCAGGCTATGCTAAGCCCACTGGCCTCGCCGTCAGATGATGTCCCCGTCAAGTCGCGCCCTGGCCAGATGCACACTGCAAACGCATTTTCTTGTCCTCGACTCGACGCTGCTTGCATCTGATGGAGTGGAGAGGCCATTCCTGCAGGCGCATATCTATCGTTTGTTTGTCCCCCCATGAAGCCTTTCTAGAGCGAGCAACCGCAGCCCCCATCTACGCTGTGCCACCTGGGTTTTCCCGCCCACGCATGTCGAAACGTCTTCTTCCAGCTGCAGCGCAGATAAGACCCTGTAGAGCTCGCTCCGCCGTCGACGCGAGATGCCTTGCTCGGTCCGCCGAACACAGGTCCACGCGAAGTCTCAGCTGAGCCGAGCTGACGGTAGAACATGTGGTAGTTCACTGTATTAGTAGCAGTACGAGCAAACGTACTAGTACTGCGCCGACCAGAGGGGAGGGACTTGAAGCCGCGCGAACGGACGCTCGCTTGCCGCGAAGCGACCTTATCGCCGCAAGGGAAAGGGACCGCGAGGCTCGGACCAGCCGACAGGCCGATCCGCCACGCGAACATCTTGCACTTGCAGTTGCTTTCCTCCCGTGCGCCTGATCTGCGTCGGGTCACATGAGTTCGGCTGGTGCACGACTATTCGAGTCGTGCAACCCCCATACTCCCCCCGCTCCCCCACCCCACTTCCCCCTGCCCTCTGATCAAACAACAACAAAGCTGCTCACTCCCTCCGTGGCTCTCTCGCTGCCTTGCCTGCCGCTACCAGCCCTAGTAGTAGCATCAACGTGACGCACCCCTGTCACTTGCTCCTCGCTCGCTCGCTGCGGCGCCCCCTCCGCCGCCGCCCAACCTCTCTATGAGTGCCGTGGATTCGAACCGCTCAACAGCCCGCTGAGCACCAGCAGTAGCAGCAGCAGCTGCTGCTGCTGGTAGCACCACGGGTACTCGGCCCCTACGATCGTGCTCCCTCGAAACCGGCCTTTCAGAACAGCTTTGTTGGACGACGAGGCAGGCCTGACCGAGCCGTAAGAGGCGGCTCTCGTAACTTACAGTGCCCTATTACCTCTCAGCAGCAGAATCTCTTACGCAGTTTCTGTTCAAATCTGAACGTTGAAGGGAGTATTCGCGAGGTAGAAGCGAGAGCCCAAGGCGCCATCGGCTGAGCGTCTCACGCCAAACGCAGGCTTTCTGACCTCTGTTGTCACGCTCCCGTTCCCTACTTTGACACGCGCTACTACTACTGGAGTCACTCTAACAGACGGACTTACAGACGCTGCGATTGTGGTGCAGATTCTAGCAGATGCTGCACGCACCACGGCCCGCTCTCTTTCCCAGCCACGTGGCGTGACGACGAAGGTTACACGGCGAATCTCCGAGTAGTAGTGGCCTAAGATTTGGCCTGTTGAACCACTACTAGCCTAGTACGCGGCAGGCTTAGTGTCTCGTCTCAGCCTATTAGTCACTCACCTTTCCAGCTTTCGGTCAGACAGACTCCTCACGCGCAGCCTCTCGAGCCCGTCCGCTTGGCACTTCATCACCGTGGTGCGAGAACACGTGCACACACTACTGCCATCACTATTGTCGCCGCCGTTGGTGGCACATCACCATCACCATCACCACCATCACCTAATGGGCTGCTTCGACTTCTTTCGCTCGTCGTCGCGCCGAGCGCCGTCCAGAGTCGCAGCTGCGACCAGCAAGGACTGTCGCAGCGGCAGCAGCAGCGCCGCAGGCGACAGCTGCGGCGACAGTCTCGGCGACGGGAAAGGCGACGACGGCGGGGCTCGCGTGCTGGGTGACAGCGGCAGAATCGGCGGAGGTATCACTACCAAGAAGGGCATTCTAAAAGACAGCAACGGCGCCGTGGCTACTACAACAACTACATCTAGCAGCGCTGGTAACGCCGGCGGCGGCGGTTTCATGTCGCCACACGATTCGCTGAAGGAGAGGCGCGCCGATGGCGCAGAGCAGGACGACGGGGAGCAGCAGCAGCATCCGCATCTGCACCAGCACCAGCAGCAGCAGCAGCAGCAGCAGCAGCAGCAGCAGCAGCAGCAGCAGCAGCAGGAAGAGCGCCGATATAGCCCTGACGTCCACGTCAGCCCGTCCCTCTCCCCCTCGCTGACGTCATCCAACAGCACCTCTTCCTCCTCCTCCTCCTTCTCCTCCACCTCCCACTCCTCCTCCTCCTCCCTTTCCGGCCCTATCGTCTCCGCCAACCCCTCCGCCTCCACCTCCGCCTCCGCGCGCGCTCTCGCCGCGTTCCCCGTCCCCCCCTTTGGCGGAGTCCCCGTCCCGCTCCCAGCTCCTTCCCCCGGCGCCCGCCCCGCGTCCCCCGGACCGCTCCGCTCGCCCTCCCCCACCCGCTCGTTCCGCAGTGGCGGGCTCGCGCGGATGGGGTCGGGACGGTTTCCAGGCGCGCAGGTCGGTGCTGCGGGTGCGCCGGGCAGTGTGGCTTCCCCCCGGCCCAACAGCGGCGGCGGCGGTGGCATGGGCGGCCACGCGGGGGATAGAAACCGCGCCATGTCAGCTTCTGCTAACCCGCCCCTACAACGGCAACACAGCAGAGTGACTTCGCCTTCTGAGGTTGCCGGTGGCAACACGGCAGCAGCAGCAGCGCCGCAGACCCCAGCTGCAGCATCCTGTGGGAACGATTCGATCCCAGCCGACGTTTCATTGGACCACGTGCTCGTTCCCGCCAGCTCTCACCGCGGCCTGCCAGTCCTGGACCGCCAGCTGGCGGGCTCGGGGCGGATCAACTCGTTCTCGCTGGCGCAGTTGCACGGCGCCACGTGTCAGTTCGCGCTGGAGGGGCTGCTGGGGTCGGGCGGGTTCGGGAGCGTGTTCCAGGGCACCATGTGGGACGGCCGCAGCGGCCGCAAGGTGGAGGTGGCCGTTAAAGTGCTCAATACGGCTGGCCAGCAGGTGAGACTGTGTCGTGTGACCGTGAGACTGAGACTGTGAGACCGTGAGACCGTGAATCAGTGAGACCGTGAGACCGTGAGACTGTGAGACCGTGAGACCGTGAGACTGTGAGACCGTGAGACCGTGAGACTGTGACACTGTGAGACTGTGAGAATGGAAAGGGGCTAGAGGGTGTGAGGATGGGTGTGTTTCATTGTCGAGGACTTGTTTGTTTACCCTCACTTACCAGCAACATTCTCTCTTCCATTTCTCTTTCCTTCCCTTCCACTATCATCTCTCATCTCCAGCCTCCTTCATCCCATCTCACCTTTCCCCCTTCCCTCTCCCCCCTCCCCTCTCACACCCTCACAGGGCGACAGGGAGTGGCAGGCGGAGCTGCAGGTTCTAGCGCGTCTGCACAACCCCTGCCTAGTGCCTCTGCTGGGCGTGTGCGCGGAGGGAGAGCAGCGCCTGCTCGTCTACCCCTTCCTCCCGGGGGGCTCCCTCGAGCGCCGCCTCTTCCCCGCGCTCTTCCTCCCCCCCTCCGCCTCCCCGCCCCCCACTCTCCCCACGGGGCTCTCCCTCCCCCTGGGTGCTTCCAGGGGGGGGGGATTCGGGGGGGTTGTGCCTAGGACGGCGTCTGGCGGGGGAGGGACAGGGGGAGGGGGCGGAGGAGGAGGGGGAGGAAAAGCGGATGTGAGGGGGGTGAAGCGGCCTGGCAGCAGCGGCGGCAGCAGCAGCAGGAGGGAGGAGGAGCAGCGGCCGCTGCAGTGGCTGCACCGCATCCGCATCGCCATCGCTGCGGCCAAGGGCCTCATGTTCCTGCACGAAGAGATCGCCAAGCCGGTGAGAGGGGGAGAGCTGGCATGAAGGGTATAGTTTCGTTGAGGCACCTCAAACACCGCCCTTGCAAAGACTTCTCAGCCAAGGGACTCATGTTGCAAAGACTTCTCAGTCGACTCAACGCCCACCTCTTAACCCCCTCATCCCCCTCTCCCCGTTGCCCCCTGCCCCTCTTCCTCCCCCCCCCCAGATCATCTACCGCGACTTCAAGACGTCCAACATCCTGCTGGACCGCCACGGCGACGCACAGCTCTCCGACTTTGGGCTCGCGCGGCTGGGACCGCAGGGGGAGCTCTCCCACGTCACCACACGGGTGAGTGCAGGGCAGGGGAGAGGGCTGTGCGCCTTGCTGCAGCGTCCGCATCTTCATGTTTCTCGATGTTGTCTCCTCTGCGTCCCTTGGCTGTTGTGTTGCTTTCTTCTTTTTCCCTCTGCCTCGTCCCTCTCGCTCCCTCCCCCTCTCCTAAGGTGAGTGTTCTCTCACTTTCTCACGTTTGCCTCCCTTGCCCGATACATCTCCTGCCCTTCCCCCATGGCACAGTGGGGTATGCAGCACCGGAGTACGAGCTCACAGTCTCATGACAGTGAAGCCCGTTCTCATACCTCTCCCCTCCCCCGCCTTCCCCTCCCCCCCTTTAGGTTGTCGGCACAGTGGGGTACGCAGCACCGGAGTACGTGCTCACGGGCCACCTGTCCACCCGCAGTGACGTGTGGGGCTTCGGAGTCGTGCTGCTCGAGCTGCTCACTGGCCGCCCGGCGCTGGATAAGACCAGGTGAGACGGGCAGACAGAGAGAGAGACAGAGGAGGGCAGTCACTCAGAGCCTGTTTCTTTTTTTGCCTACCAAGGTGACTTTTGAGTCGACTCAAAAGTCGCCTGTTTCTTTTTTTGCCTACCATGCCTGACACTCCTGCTGGTTGTTGATTACGTTGCCCTCTCGCTTGCTGCTTCATTCCTCGTTGACATTCTAGGATTTCTAGGCTCTCTTGATACAGTACTCTCTTTTAACACTGCCTTGTAAACTCATCGCGCCCCTCCTCCGCCCCCTACCCACCATCGCAGACCCAAGCCAGAGCAATCCCTCGTGGACTGGGCGGCGCCGTTCCTCTCCTCGCCCTGCAAGCTGTACCGCATAATGGACCCCTCTCTGGCGGGGATGTACAGCGTGCGCGGGGCGCAGCTCACAGCAGCCGTGGCCCGGCAGTGCCTGAGCGCGAAGCCCAAGCTGCGCCCCCTCATGTCGGACGTGGTTAAATCCCTGCTCCCCGTGCTCGACCTGCATGACATGGCCGGGTTTACTCTGGACCAGCCTATAGGCGGTGGGGGGGGTGTGAGGGAGCAGGGAGGGGGAGAGGGGACTGGAGGCGTGAGGGGTAGTGGGAGTGGCAGTGGTGGGGGGGGATGGGTGGGCAGAGGAGGGGGAGGAGGAGGAGGGGGTAGTGGGAGTGGGAGTGGGAGTGGCAGTGGGATGGGGTTTGGGACTCGAGTTGGATTGAGACCAGGGAGTGGAGGAGGGGGCGGGGGAGGAGGGACAGGAGGGAGATTGATCCCAGCTGTAGGAATGGGACTGGTGGGATCTAGTCGGAGTGTGGTGGCGGGGGGGCAGCTGGGGGTGGGTGGGGGATCGTCTGGCACGGTGCTAGTGGAGAGGAGAGAGGGCGCGGGGGACGGGGGGAGCAGCAGAGGGGCGGTAGTGGGTGCGAGGAGAATAGGGCTGGTGGCATCAGGAGAAGGGGGAACCAGAAGTGTGTCTGTGGGGGAGGGGGTCAGAGGCGGGCAGGGGATCCTGAGGAGTGCTAGTGGTAGGGATGGGAAGGAGAGGAAGGAGGGGAGTGGTCAGCCATTGAGGGAAGTGGGTGTAGTGGTGTGCACACTTGGAGAGGGGAAAGGAGGTGGGCTAGCGAGGAAAGGGAGTCGGAAGAGTGAGAGCAATGAGGGGGAGAAGAGGAGACCGACCGTGTGAAGCGGAGATGGCATGTGCATAACAGATGATGGGCAAGTGGTAGCGCCATGTGGAGGATGTAAATGGGGAGAGCGATTGAGGGGGAGGGGGGGAGCACCTGGAGTGGCTGGCTGGCAGGGTGCTGTGAGGTGGTGCTGTATGGGCATGTGCGCTGGTCTGTGAGATGAGAATTCTCCAACACGGGAGGAGAGGACGTGGGTGGTGCAAGGAGCTCAGGCGAGTCTCAGGTCTGCGGGGCGTACTGCGGCTGCAGCCATTCCAGCGTAACTGGCAGGTGGTATGACGGCTGTATGTGGAAGGATTATCATGGCGAGTTGGTTTCGTGTGGACTGGAGAGTTCAGGTCTAACAACCGCATGTCTAGCTGCAGTGGACGGAGTCACCAGGTGGGGGTAGAGCTGAGATGGTGTGTACACCTGGACAAAGGTGTGATTGCTGTGCTTTACTGTATAAGCTATAAATAAAGAACTAAGAACTGAATGTACGGTACTCTGCGTACCTTGTGCTGAGTAGTCAACTCAGCATGCTGAAGTGACATCTGACTTGATAGCAAGTAAGCCCTGGGTTTATATTATATGATAGAAATTGACAATTTCTAACAGAACAGCCCCCTGAAGGGGCTTGTGAGCCTGGTACAGCAGACAAATCTGTACAAAGACTCGCTGCAGCAGAACAAGAATATGGAAAGGGCGGCTGTACAAGTTAGTCAGAAGTTTGGTCAGGCACAATAATGAGCCCCTTTCTATCATTCCTCAATGAAGGAACGGACAGATTAGCAGCAGATCAGCTGGGCTCTATGGGGTCCGGCCCCGCGTCACATGCCGGTACTCTTTTCGCCATTGCAGCAGATAACACCACAGTGTAGTGCCTTCATGCACGGTTTGTGCAAGCCCTGACATGTTGCTTCAATCCACAAATAAACCACGTGCTGCTGCTGCTGCTGCTGCTGCTGCACACGTCCCTCTCAACGCTTGCTGTGCAACCTGCCCCATCACAGGTGTGGGTAGCCTACCCAGCTGCTCACTGCACATGCTGCATCCAGTCTCATGCATCACCAGGCACCAGTTCCATCCCAACTGAGAGAGGAGTGTGCTGCGCTGCAGTGAGTCCACCCCGGTCAGCAGGCGCAACCAGGCGCACCAACTCCTCGTCCACCCCCTGCCACCACCCCGGTCTCCTTCCATCAGTTCGCCCCCTTTCTTGCCCGCATCGCCAGTTGCTTTCACTGGGGTGTGCTGCCAGCAAAAGCAGCAGCCTCTGGCGAGTACTTTAGAGCAAATCGAATTGCTGTGCAGCATAGAGGTACTACGGTATGCACAACCTGCGCTGTCCATGCCACCCATGTAAACCAGCCCCCCCCCCCCCTGTCCCATCATGGAATACCAGCCAGCAGGTTTCTCACTTAACTCAGTATATCTGCCATGAGGGCTTCGTGCCTGAAGTGTAGTCATCCCCAGCTGCCACATTATCCCACACGAAGGTGGTAACTGAATCGCGTATGGCTGTTACATTGTACACTCCAGTTACCCTCCTGCCCGGCCAAGCAGCCCTATAGCGCATCCTGTAGCTCTCCTTGCTTGACGTGCGAAAGATCAGTAACCTGGTCCTCCTCTGCGGTACTAACAGGTGGTAACCCGAAATCTGCACTGCCAGGTTTCGCGCCCGTTTCTCCTGATTCACCACAGTGACCGCCAATGTATGCTTAACGGGGGAGTACACAGCGAGTACAGTATGCTGGCACTCGCTGCGCACCAGAATCGGCAGGCTGCCTGGCGGCATCCATCTCGTGAAGTGTAACATCGCCCAAAACTGCTTGGTTACCACCGGGCGAAACGGTTCGCGATACGAAAAGCCCTGCCAGATGAGGCCCCAGCCGGAGGGGTTCGGCTGCTGTAGCGCGAGCCAGTGGTACCAAGCTTCCACGCCCATAAGATTCACATGCTGGATGATCGTTCGCGCCATGAGGCACGCGATCTGCATTTCAGATCCGCGCACGTTCACTGGTCCCCACTCCGTCTGCCATAGCGGCTTGCCCAGCCGTCTCGCCGCGTCCCTAATCGCGTTAAACTGCCGCTCGTCTCTTCCAGGCGTCATCCTAGCCGGCGACCGGTACCCGTGGACGTTGAGCTGCTCCCACTTGTCGCTGTTCTGTGCGAACACGCGCGACATCGCGAGGAGGGTCTGCGACGGCCAGCTGTCGACCCCTGCGACGAAAATGTCGTCCAGCCCGTACTGCTGCAGTCGCGGGCGAAGCTTTCCCAGCACCTGGACGACGTCGCCCTCGCTCATCGCACACCCCTCTCGCACGCCCCCCTTTCGCCACCACGGCTCCAGCGGCTCGTTAAAAGGCGCCACGCTATAGAACTTAATATCCAGGTCGTTCTGCAGGTGCCACAGCACGCGCGCGATATACTCCGCGTAATCGTCGTAGTAATCCGGATTAATATTCGGCCGACCGTCCGCGTTCCCCGCCGTGTCGCGCGACTTAGTCATCCACCAGGGCGGTGAGCTGCACACCGCGTCGAATACCTCAACCCCGCGCTGCTTCGCGCCGCGCAGCGCGTACACCTGGCGCCAGTCGCCCGTCCAGTTATACCGCCCGCGCGCGTCGCTGTACCCGCGGAACACGTCCCGCTGCGCCAGGCGCGGGCTGTAGCGGCGGTCGTAGCCCCCGGGGACGGTGTAGCGCGCGATGGTGAGCCCCAGCCCCTTGCGCGCGTGGAACAGCAGGTCCAGGAGGAACTCCCGCCGCCGCCGCGGCAAACCGCTTATGTACCGCCCGGACCTTCGATCAGTCGGCGGGGATTGGGGAGAAGAATGAGGTTTGAGGGGAGGAAGTAGATGGAGGAGGGGAGGGGGAAGGGGTGGGAAGGGGAGTGGGAAGGGGTGGGAGGGGAGGGGGAAGGGGAGGGAGGAAGCAGGGGGGTGGGTGTTAGAGAGGGGGTTCAGGGGTATCACGACGGAAGTGGCTACTATTGCGTGGTTGCCGTGCCGAGATAGAGGCGAGCAGTTTGGGGGGGAGGTGAACGACGGGAGGGGAAATTAGAGGGAGGGGCGCCGGCTCGGAATGACCGTGAGAGGTAAAAGGGGGATAAGGGCTGTTGAACACGCGGTAGTAAGCGCGCGGGCGCGACGTACCATGCGAGAGAGGTGCCCCATCCCTTCCAGACCGTTCCCACCGTGTCCATTCCCACGGTCAGCCTCACTCGACCTGCAAGGAATCGCCGGGGAACGGAAGAAAGTGAATGAGCTACAACGGCACGCGGTGTCAAGATCGAAAAGCTATGACATCCTTTCTCGTCTTTCGCTTTCTTCTCCGTGCAATTCCGCGAGTGGCAGTACCTCGGACGCCCGGACAAACCGGGTAGCGGAGAGCATCAGGGATCTGCTGTTTCTTGGCGTCGGCAGTTGCGTTGCGGCTGCGACCCAGCGGGATCGCCATCAGCTCGCGGGGATGCCGCTCTGCCTCCCAGATACCATCAAAATCATCTTCCCAAGACGTTCCGTCAAAGTCCAGCTCACTAGAACTTAAATCGGGATCAGAAGTGCCGATACTGTACGTGACGCCGTACGCGCTATGGTTGAGGTCTACCGGAGCTTGCGACTGCAGCGCGTGCGCTTCGGACATAGAGTGAGTGATGCTGACGAGGTGTAGTACGAAGAATATTAAACAGCGGTTTAGAGGCTGCAGGAGGCCTTTAGATTGAGAGAGCCGCATGGTGTCGACAGTTCGACGGAAACGGGGTGTCTGCGCTGAACTCATGGTGTCTACCGATTCGAGAATTCATTCGAGGCATTTGCTGCGCTGAACTGCTCGATAAGAGAACGTTGCAGAGGTTGCAAGCATCGCTAAGGTGACGATGTCGGTGTTACCGCTATGACTGATAGTCTTTTCTAGAGCTGCACGACAGCTACCCCTCTGCTGCACCCGTCTGGCAACCCCATCTCACAGAAAGGTGGAGAGAGAGGAATGGACTGGGCACAAGTTGATCATCCGTACAGATACCACACCGAATTGAGGGTAAAGCATGATGGATGCGAGAAGCGGGAGTTGAGTTGATGGCGCGCCACAAGGAGGGAACTTGGGAGTAGCAGAGAACGGCTCGAACCGCGCCATCCACTTCACGGAATCGCGATGTCCAAAATTCGCGCGCCTTGGTCAACTGTTGGGAGCCCTCAAAACCAAACGTCTGGAATGTGATACGTACACCTGGGAACAAGGTACTGTACCCCAAATCTTGAGATTGACATAAAAGCAATAGCCATAAACTGGAAAATCCTAGGGCGGAAACCATATCGTGGAACAGTGGTAATAACGAATATTTGAATAGATAAAACAACGCAGGTGGCATGAAAAATCAGTGAGGTCCTAACATCATGGTTGGTTCCAAAGGGCTCAAAATGTCACTTTAGTTTCCATATTTGCCCACGTGTAGCACCCAGAAACTTGAATTGCCACCGGGTCTTATTTCAGGCAGGTACTTCATTAAGGTATTTCACTACATAGAGCTGGCAAAATCGTCGTAGCTGGGCTAAGACACCCCTCTTCTTTTTTCTCAGCTTCGCCTTCTTCTCCATTTTAAAACCGCAGGCTAAAGAAGCACACCATGGGCGCTCATGAAAACTTTTTTTTCGGGGGGTCAGAATAAACGGCCCAGCCTGGAGCACTTTGTACCGAACGAAACGAAAACAAGTGTCGACTAGATCGTCTTAGGGTTGCGGAGCTATCTTTGCCGGTCTAATGTTATTTTGCATTTTACATCGATTTATGACTATTATCATTTGATTTGATATTAATTTACAATTTTGCATCAAGTCTTATTATATTCTGCTAATATACATCCTTGTTTCTCATAACTGTACATCTGATGTTTTAATAGCGCAACACTTTTTTTATTCAAGATTTGATAGAGCCAGCTCGGAAATCGGGGGATGCAAAATACAAACCCGAGGAAGTCCCGAGACTTCCGAACGGGTTAACCGTTTGCGCTACCCTAAGACGTGAATTCAACGGATTTATATTTATAGTTTCTTTGTTTTTTGCGACGAATCAGAATGCTCCCTAGGGTTTGTTCTTTTTCTCGCCTCGTCCCCAGCCTCGCTTCTCACGTTGAGGTTTCAGTCACGCCACCTCGCCACTAGTTTCCTACCCAAGGTAAGTCGTTCTATGTGTTCCCTCATCTATTTTTAAATTTGTTTTTCCGTCTCTTTTAGTAAGGGGTTTCAATCTCGTGTTTGGGGGGGGAAATAGCAACGGGATTGACGGGGGGGATGGCGACGGAATTGACGGGGGGATGGCGACGTGATTGACGGGTGGAATGGCGACGGGATTGACGGGGGAATGGTGACGGGATTGACGGGGGTAATGGCGACGGGATTGACGGGGGAATGGCGACGTGATTGGCGACGGAATTGACGGGGGATTGGCGACGGCGACATTGACGGCGGGGGACGACGGGATTGATGAGGGGATAGGCGGGGACTCTCTCTCGCTCTTTCACTACCTCTTTTTCCACCTCTTTCTTGATCTCTCTGTCTCTCTCTCTCTCTCTCTCTCTCTCTCTCTCTCTCTTTCTCTCTCTCTCTCTCTCTCTCTCTCTCTCTCTCTCTCTCTCTCTTCTATTTCTCTCTCTCTCTCTCTCTCTCTCTCTCTCTCTCTCTCTCTCTCTCTCTCTCTCTCTCTCTCTCTCTCTCTCTTTCTCTCTCTCTCTCTCTCTCTCTCTCTCTCTCTCTCTCTCTCTCTCTCTCTCTCTCTCTCTCTCTATATATATATATATATATATATATACCTCATTTTCTACCTCTTTCTTGATCTCTGTTTTTCACTCACTCTCTCGCTCTCTCTCTCTCGCTCTCTCTCTCTCTCTCTCTCTGTCTGTCTTTCTCTCTCTCTCTCTCTCTCTCTCTCTCTCTCTCTCTCTCTCTCTCTCTCTCTCTCTCTCTCTCTCTCTCTCTCTCTCTCTCTCTCTCTCTCTCTCTCAAACGGTCCTTCATTGCTGGGAGATCCTTGGTACAAGCGAGGCATATACGGTGAGTACAAGCATGTATGAGATGCTGGCCGGTCTCCTACTCTATCGCTACTCCCCCGGGTGCTCGATGACAGCGAAGCAGTCCCCGAGGGACATGCCCGCGTTAGGAGCACCGAGGGGGGGCCATTCGAGCGGCGAGGCGTCGTTCACCTTCCCAAGGTAGGTGAGGGCTTGACCCGGGTGACAGACCAGCGCTGGCGGAACTGGCTGAGCAGTTTAGCCACCTGGTAGGAGCTGGGGTCGGCGTTGAAAAGGCGGCAGGCGGCCGTGTGTGCGAGGAGTTTAAGGAAGGTTGGCACTTCGGCGCATGGGCAGCCATACGTCTCGACCGCGAGTGGGAAGAAACCGACGTATGCTGCCCAGTGGCGGTATTCGTCGATCTTCTTGTCCGCTTGCTCCCGGGCCATGTAACCGCGGCCTTTGCGCGCTAGCGGGTCCCGGGAGCTGACTGGGTCGGTGACGGTGACGTCACAGATCCAGACCGCCCCCAAGTCCCGGTCACGTACGGCCAGGTCGGCGGTCTTGCCGTCGACAGGGTTGTAGATCGCCGTTTCTTTCGTGACTAAAAGCTGTGCGTCTCGCCCCATGCGCACGCACTCATCTCGGAGGGCGTTGTGGGTGTCGGTGCGACCGTGTCCCATCCCACAACGGAAGAGGTGGTTTGGTAGGCGGGGGTCTATGATCGCGACCTGTTGGGCGCAGTTGCAGACCTTGGGTGCCGGGAAAGGGAGGCCCATACGGAACGCCAGGGCGATGGCATAGTGAGGCGGCGCCAGCCGAAGAGATGGGAATAGGGGGATGGCGAGGAGCCAGTCGCCGGCGCCATACCCAGTGAGGGAGAGGAGCCGCTGGGTGTGGCCGCTGAGGGGGTTGGGGTCCATCTCCCTTGACACAGCCAATTGACGGGCGAAGCGGGCTGCGTGTACCTCCAGGGCCAAACAGTGTTGGAGAGGATCGTCCGAGGTCTCAGCCCGCTCGGCCTGCAGGAGCGCCAAGGCTGGAGCTGGGAGGGCCGACTCGCATTTCGACAGCCAGGTATGGAGACGCGAGGGTCCGTTGAAGGGAGGGGCCAGGGAGCAAGCCGCTGCAGCGAGTGGGCCTGTCGGGTCCGAAGGAAGGGATATGAGCAGCCGGTGGGCCTGTGCGACGCTGGTGAGGAAGGCGTGCGGGCCCTCTACTGCGGGGTCCGCGAGGCCGAGGCCGCCAAGGGTGGGGGGCAGAGAGGCCTGGTGCCACGTGTGCGACCGCTCCTGTTCACCTCGTGGGAGCTGAAGGTTGCACGAGAGGAGGAGGGTATGGAAGAGCTCCTGGCCCCAGTTGGACCATTCCTCGGTCGGCAGCGAGTCTAGGGGGGTGGTGCGGGTGAGATAGGATACGCGTCTTGAGACGCAGCGGTGGAGGAGAAGGCCCGCAGCCTGGGGGTCCATGGTCGCCAGGTCGGGAAGCGGCCTGGCCATGTCAGCCAGCTGCTCCCGAAGGAAAGCGGCAGTGGCTTCAGTGGGGCCAAGGTGGCTCCTGAGGACGCGCAGGCTGTCAGCACGGAAGGGGATGCCCGGGGGGAGTATGGGGCTGGGGGGCTGGGAAGTTGACCACGCCGCGCACTTGGAAGGGTTGTGCGTGAGGCCCAAGGGGCGTAGGGCCTCCGTGAGATGTGTGAACGCCGACGCGCATTCCGACGGCTCTCCGAGCAGCGTGATGTCGTCGGCGTATGCGAGGCAGAGCACGCTAGGAAACGCCGAGGCTGTCGCCTGGAGTGCCGGGTGTAAAGTTGCCGCGAAAAGCAGGGGGCCCATGGGGTCCCCTTGACGAACACCCCGGGCACTAAGGAGGGGTTCGCTGCAGAAACCCACGTCTAGGTAGAGTCGCGACGGTGCTCCGTAGGAGAGTTTGACGAAGGGGAGAAGCGGCCGGAGGGGCGATTTGTAGAGGCCCGCCACTATCGCGGCTCTGTCAACACTGTTTGAAGGCGTTTGACACGTCAACCTGGAGTACGAGGGCGGACGGAAATTCGGATGTGTATGCGCGGGCTCCATGGACGATCGCCTCGCCGCCCGCGTGTACTGCCACCCCGAACTGCAGCGGGAGGAAATGAGTCTGCGCCTGTGCCGTCATGGTGAGGAGGCCCGCCTTCGCCACGAGGCGGTGCAGGCACTCGCCTATGGCGATAGGACGCGTACCTCCTCCGGGCTTGGGGAATGCTATGAGGCGGCTGGCGGTGAGTAGGGCGACGATTTCGGCTGTGGAATCCCCTTTGAACAAGCGTAGTGCGAGCTCGTGCAGTTTGCCAATGACTGTATTGTTAGCGAGGGCGGCTTTGCGAATGTGCTTGAAGCACATTCCTGAAGGCCCTGCGCCCACTCCGTTTTCGCAACGACTCAGCAAGCGAATGAACGCATCCTGCGAAAACGAGGGGCCCGCCTCTGACTCGTCAAGGATGGGCCAGGCGATTGACTCAGTCAACGGAGCGGGGTGCTTGGACTTCAGTGCCTTGAGGACGTCGGGGGTTGAATCGCTGACCGGGGTCGATTCCAGTGCCAGCAGGGCACGTCGGAGACTGCCACGGCGGACAAGCCCCTCTGCTCGCTTTTGCATGCCGATGGAGTCCGCCATGTGGCGAGGTGCGGGGGGGTTATGCACAGTGTCGATTGCTGACTGGTACAGCGAATGCCAATCGCCCGCGAGGAACTGCTGCAGTCGTTTTTCCACTGCGGCCCAATCAGGGTGCTTGGGCGAGTGCAGGCGAAGGGTTAGGCGAGGGACGAAAAGTAACAGGCGCCAACCTGCGAGGCTGGTTGGCCTGTGTGCGGTATGAAGCAGGGGTGTCAGCAGTGCTAGAGCGAAGAGCTGACGAAGTTTGGGGGGGATTCTGCGGGAGATCGGGGGTTGGCGACTGTCGCAGAGCAGGTCGATATCCCATTCCGCCACCCCGGCGAACAATGATTCGTTGGACGACAACTCCTGTGGCGAGAACTGCCTTGGGTTCGGGATCTCTGGCGTAGTACTGGCGCGGGAGGTACGCGTATTTCGCGCACTCCCTCTGGCAGCTTGGGCGGGAGAGTCCAGTGGCTGTGTGCTCACAGGTCCTTGTCTGCGGGATCTGAGCAATGGGGACGGATTCCCGCCTCGCCTGCGTGACAAAGCTCTCTCCTCCAGAGCATCACTGGACTCCTCCGTTGATGAGTCCTGGAGCCTCTCCGGTACATAAGATGCGTCTCGTCTCTCTTCCTCGTCAGTTACCTCCCTCT